TCTTATACCAGGATTGCTATTGCCGGATGTCTTTGCCAGTGCCAGGCCTTCGGTTAAGGTTATCCCATGTCTGAAGGCATCTACATCTTCTCTGGGTACTTGGTCTCCTTTTCATCGTCTCGGTCTGAATGACTCTCTCACCCAAACAAGGCCCTTAGGACATGGATAGTAATAGCACTCTGCAGCTGTTAAACATTTTACAAACAGTACTAATTACTCTTAGCAAAACCCCTTAGCTCAGGATCCAACATCTAGTGTAGGAGCACTTACACAAAAAGTGATTTGCCAGGAAACACACAGGGAGGAATAGGATCCAGGCATCCTGGAGCCCACAGGCAGTGCTTAGCCCGTGGTACGTCAACACATCTCTACGTGAACCCAGGGGACCAAACTCACAATATTTCGCAGGTCAGGTTTTCACTTTCCAAAATATACCCAACGTTGCTTCTAATAAATCATTTATATAATAAATCTCACAATATTTCGCAGGTCAGGTTTTCAATTTCCAAAATATACCAAACATTGCTTCTAATAAATCGTTATATTTATATCGGTGTGGGGTGCTTTGGGGGGCGGGGAAGGGGGGTGAATGTAATTGATGCCATGGTCAAGGGGTCGAGGAGCAACAGAGCTGCTGGTGCTTACCTTAGGGTACTCGCTCTATTTTATCAAAAAAGGAGAAAAATAGCTAAGTGGTGACTTGAGGTTCACAAGGACTTTCCTGGGGAAATAGCAGCGGGCGCCGAAGAACTTATTGATGTAGTGGAGACAGGCCCCGGAAGAACCAACGACTAGACATTGAAGCAAGACAAATTCAAGTGCCAGGGTCCAGTTAGTTGAGCCGCGTGGGCGCCTGGCCACGGGACCCAGACAACCAGGGGCGGTGGTGGATTCTCCGTCTCTTGACATCTTCAAATCCATTCCTCTTGGGAAGATAACACTATCACAATACACAGCTTTGCGGGCTTAATATGAAGGTAAGTGGGTGTAGCGCTACCGCCTGGGATACACAGAAGGTGAACCCCAACAATTTATGGATCACTTCCGGCCTCAAAAATCCACGAATGGAGACAGCTGTGGTCGGCTCACAGGCTGTAAAGAATAAATATTAATAGTCACGGAAACAGAAAATCAGCCTTGCGAACTTAAGAGCTGCAAGGGGCTTCCTGGGCAACTGCCAGTGACTAGAAGAAAAGCGTTTGGCCCAAGGAGAGTTTCTGCTGAAGGGCTTTGGTTCCCTGTAGCAACGTGCGAGAGGTTTTTTTGTGCATACTTGGTGGGCTCATGAATTTCTTCTGTCAAAAAGCTTACGGGTTGTTACTTGCACCTACAACAAACACATCCAAGAAACGCTCGGCATTGAAGTAATTCGGTTTATTTCACACCAACAAAGTGTCCAGCTAAGTTACGCAGATACCTTTCAAATGGGCAGGAGAGTTTTTACTCCAATATAATTTCCACATGCTCAGCAACTTTCATTTATAAGCCGTGCAGCAGCTACCCAGGAGCGTCCAGCAAGGCTGCTGCTTCACCCGGACTTCAGCATACACCGCAAGAAACCTCTCTCTGAAATCCACTTGTAGTTTCCTTCCCCCACGCAAAAAGCTTTTGGTTCCCAGCCGCCTTGTAAGGCGCACGCGGCGCACCCCGAATGGAGACAAGGTCATTTTTTCCACGCTGGCATTTTCTGCTTTTGTGTCTCGTTGACCAGAGAACACGTTTGGCCGTAGCTAAATATTAACATTCCCTGTACTTTATTCTGCAACCGCACAGGGACCAGACCCATCGCTTCTTGATTTGTTAGCGCACTGGGAACTCTGAGCTGCCAATATTTTACTGACAAATGACCTCGTCCACCTACCACAGCTGTCAATGTTGGGCCCTGGATTCATTTGAATCCAAGTCTCAGTCAAGTATTAGACAGATGCATAATGTATTGCTCATAGCCTCACTATTTCTTCTTTATTTTCACAGTTAGATGTTTGGTTTGCTTTGTGTGGGCTTGTTTTCAAGTTCAAAAACCTTATTAAAATTGCTACGGAAAAATAAATTTATTATTAAACATATTCAATCTGCTCCAAAATGGAATGATCCTGTTTTGGTTTGAATTTACAACTGGTTCCATTTAGTTCGACTGTTTCTTTTTTTCTTTTTTTTCTATTTATAGCCAGCACCAAAAAAAAAAAAAATTATCATGGATACAGTACATACGTAAATTAACTAATGGAAAAATATATACATTTCACTTTGTAATGAAAAACTTAAATGATATGATTGCCATGGAGGATATATCCCTGTATTATAATAAAATATCAAGCAATAATTGACTGCTAAGATTCTTTTTCACCAATAAAAAAAAAATAGCACCATACATAAGATAGTGAGAATCTACACTCAGTAACACGATTGTGCAACTAGTAATGTACAGTACTTTAGAAACAGTACAGAGAGTATTGGTTACAATATGGAAACACCACCATTGTAATCAAAGAGCATCAATCTCTTGTGAACAACCACCAAATAAAAAAAAAGTATTGGCATAGCTATGCTGAAACAGCTTTCTTTTCACTGGGATGTAGTGACTGGGGACAGGGCATAGCTGTAGATTCATAGTCAAAGCTCCTATGAAATGGTACAAAGCAGAAGTGAAGGGGTTTTGACCAGAATTAAATATATTTGTCAAAGTTTTTGGCCCTCATAAAATGGAAGGGGATTTAGGCTCATCAGGAGGTCAGATGAGAAAATGTAACCAATTGGGTCCATATTGTTATGCCATCAATTTTTACGTGAGGAGGGGTTCTGCTTTAAAAAAAAAAAGGCAGGTGGCACAAATTAGCCTACGAACCTTTCCTTTGAGAGCCGCGACACTGTTTTCAGTGCTCAGACATTCAGAAGAAATCTCTATGTTACAGCGGCGCACTCGCATCCCGTTTGATCGATGCAAACTTGGGCTGGACTCAAAAGCCCTCTGAACCGAGGGGGCGTCGCTCCACTGCCCGCGGAGGACGCTGATGAAGTGAAAACGCTCCCACTCCTTCAGAAACCCATTCTGTAGCATTCGGAAGAGAACAGAACGGTCTTATGGAAAAGTCTGTGATAAGTATCACTCGCAACGCTGGCACACCAAAAATGGTGTGCCGGGGTGCAGCATCTCATAGTGCAATGCCACAGCATAAGCTGGAGGATTACCCTCAAAAAGAATAACCCAACAAGGACACAAATCCCTTTGCAAACGGCGGCTAAGACAGGAGGTGAAATAAATGGCGGCCAGAGGGGTGTGTGCCGGCTGGTTGGCGTAATGGACTATAATTTACATGTAGCGATAGGCTAGACTGTCTGTACGGTGAGCAGTTTTTTTAGGCCACCTTTTGCCTCAAGCATCAGCTTCATCCTTTTATGATTGCTTCTCTGAGCAATGGGTCACATAGACTAGGTCCATGCCTCGGTGGCTGAGCGCCCCAGCTGACATCTCCCCAATCCCACCTGCTCCCAACCTGGAAATATGCCAGTGCCCCAGGGCATCTTCACTTTTGAGACCTCAGTCTCCGGTGTGCCTGAGAGCAGCTGCTGGGATAACCCGGGAGCAGCCTTGCTGGGGCATTTCTGGGCCTAGAGGAGAAGAGTAGGAGCAAGTGGGACTGCCATGCCCAGCAAAGTCCTGGCTGGGACACCTTGCCTGCAGTGGTGTGGACGGACCCTTCATACGCCCATCTATGCCACCTCTGAACTCAGGCCTGAGGGTGAACGTCTGATGGGAAGGTTTGATTCTGACCGTAACTCGAATGGGGCAAGAGGAGCGTCTGGTCTAACAAGATTGAATCATTTCCCTGACACAGAAATGGGGCAAGTAGGTTTGTTAGCACCGAGTGCCTGCTGAGAGGTTGCTGTGCATGCAAGTGTGAATTTATGCATGCAGACCAGCACTTCTGCGCACAAGTGCCCGTCTGCACAAGCAAATACACATCTTGCCTCGGCAACTGAGGATGCACGTGTGGTTACCAGTGTCCAGGTGAACGCGAGGTTCCCATTTAAAAAGTTTAGCTCCAAGTGGTAACAAGAGATCTCAATTATATCCTGGATACCGAAAGACCCTGAACCTGGGAGAAAAAGCGGTTTTAAAAATGCTGGTTGCCAAGGGCACCTCTCATCACATTAATGCAAGGAAATAGTAGCAATAATAATAACACAAATGACATCAGGAAAGAGAGGTGGAGGGTCACAACATTCGTATCTGGACCCAGGCTTCCCCAGTGTTTGGGATGCAAACTGTGCTTGAATCTCTAAGTAAGTAAATATGAATGTAGGGGGCTAGAGCAAACACAACGCTGTAATTCATGTGTTAATAGCACAGCGAGCAAGAGTGTAACTAAGCACTACACAGGGAGCCACGCGCCCTGGCAGGGGACAGGGTCCAGGTCTGACTTACAGAGATGCACTGATCTGCAAAGACGCATGAAAGGGACAAATGCTGCCTTGTTGGTAGCTCCTGTTCCTATCTTGCATCTCAGGGAAGCACTGAGATGTTTTGAGGATTATTTACACAGCACTTGCCAGCTGCCTTGATAAGACAAGCCCAATAACGCACCAGATGAAACAAGAAGCATTTAGACACAAAGAGCAAACTCTTGGCCCACGTGAAGCCCACAGAAGTGTTGGCTTTCAGTAAGATGGGATTTCACTCCATGTACTTGTTAACTGCTGCCTCTGTCTCCCAAAGGCTTTATAACATAACAACGAGGCAGAGCCCACAGGTGGGAAAGACCTGTTTTGGGTTTCTAGTGTAGCCCCCACGCAAATATTGTCCCAGTCTCTACTTCTGATACATCCTAACACAGTTTCACAGTGCCCTTAAGAAACGACAGTCTGCCTCCTTATCGGATTGATTTCTAATGGTTGGAAAGAGGAGATGAAACAAGAGAGTGCTCCCCAAAAAACCCTGTGAGTGAAAATGGTTTCTGGCTACTCCCAGACATTTCTCACTTTTTGATGCCGGGTTAATAAGTTTCTAGTCTCTTTTAAGCTCAGAGAAATGGAAGGGGCCAGGAAAGAAAATGCATTTTGAGAATGAGAGAGAGAGGGAGGGAGACAGAGAGAGAGACGATGTGCGTTCAGAACTGGAGAGGATAAAAAATTCCCCTTTAGTACGATTGCTTAAAGAAAAAAGTCTACTAACTGGAGCGTTGGATACAATAGCACTGAGCTCGCTGCAGAAATCTCAGAGACGTCCATCCTCTGCTATCAGTTTTCACAAGCTTTTATAGCAAATCCCCTTTGTTAAATTAAGCATTTCATTTATGTGTGTCTCTCCGAGCCCACCCCATAGCACTGTAGCTGTTGGGAATTAAGAACATCAGCTGGAAGGGAAGCCAAGACTGAAGCATTAAGTAATGTCTACACCTTTGCTAAATTATTTGCCAGAGGCACACACAACCTTGGTCAGTTCAATCACTTTGCGACTCTTGTCTTTTTTTTTTACTGGTAGCAAGCCATCCAGTGGCTAGTAATTAATATATTAAAGTAAAAAGCATGAAGAAGGCGATGCTGCCAAACACAATAACATTCTACATGATTGGCTCCTTGAGATGACTCTTTGTTCGTGTTTGTAAGGTGGAGGAGTGGATTACTTTGGTACGTCCAGTCTGCAGAATTAGTTTCAAGTCTTATTAGGTATGCTTTGGAATCCACCGCACTGTAGCAATTCATTAAGTTCCAGTACTCAGACCTACAAGTCCATGATTTACATACACACAGCTGTAACTCCCTAAGAAGTAGCACCGGTTCATTAACTCTTCTGCTGCATCTTGTTTGCATAAAAGTCTCTGCAAGTCTGGCAACAGCGTTGATACCACCTCATGTCCTGGCACAGGTTCTTCTCACGGATCACCCTGCAGTACACCGTCCACTGGTCCCCTGTACACTTATATGTGAGAGCAGCTTGGGATACAAATAGAGAGAGGAAGCCGGCACGTTAGGTGAGAACAGCACTGCAGGTCTGAGCAAAATAATGCCAGCAGCATGTGAGTTGATACTGGAGTGGGGGGCGATATGCTTTTTATTGGGTTGCTGCTAAGGAGAGTTGGGCAATGGGACTGTGACCTGTCTAATAAAGACAAAAGCAAGACAGATCACTGCAAAAATGTAGCTGGGCTTATGTCTGGAGACGTAAGGAATGGCATTACACCAGTCGCCCAGCTGTGCTGGTGCCCGTCCTTCGGCCCCTGTTCAGCAAAGTGCAAAGTGCATCACGCCTGTGCTTAGCTTTAAGCAGACAGGCTGTCCCCCTGCAGGCCCGGGGATTTTCTGGATCACCACTTTCTAACCAAGGCCGGTACCAGATACTTCAGTAGAATGAGCCAAGCACGTTGCAATGGGGAACCCCAGACCAGGCAGAGATGGGAAAGGGATCAAACAAATATATGCGCGTAGGAAAAGCCAGATTCATGAGAAGTGAAAAACAAGGGCCACAGGTTTCTGGCTGGAGTGAAAAGCTTTTTGTGGCACCCACATTCCCACCAGTACTCACCAGTACCCACAGTCACCAGTTTAAAGCTAGCTCTGGTGTATCTGCATCTCCTGAGTAGACATCCCCTAAGTCAGTGGGGGCTAACTTTTTTGTCATCTCTGCTACAAGGTAAGCTCCACAGCCTCTCCAGGGGCCACTCCGATCCCCTTCCCTTGCCTGACCTGCTGCTCTGCTTTCTGCTTCCTGCCCTGTGCTCCCTGCCTACTCTGTTGCTCTGCTTCATGCTACCTGCTCTATCTGGCATTGCGTTCTGTGGTCCCCACCGATCTGCCATGTGCCACACACACAGGCTGCCCATGTCCCAGGCTGGCTACTCCCACCCTAGGAGATTTAGGGGCCTACAGGCCATTTTCAAATGCTACTTAAGCTCCAGTGGAAATCAGTGGGGTGGAGGCTCCTAAATCCCTGTCACCTTTGATAATGGGGCATGGGCATGAGACACTGGGGCACTTCAAAAGAATGTGACCCAGAGTCAACGATGCTACAGCCCGAAGGAGTGAGAGGGCAGCATTTTGGATTCTTTCTGGAGATTACTAAGGTACTTTTCTGTAGCAGTTTTACCATGAACCTTGCATTGTGGGAAACAAAATGCTGGATGAAAGCAAACACATGCTCACTACCGCATCCAGAAGAAGAGTAAAATGCTCAGTGCTTGTGAGCGGTGTCTATTTTTGTTAATATCAAATATCACTTTTGCACTGATGATTTCAGACTGGTTTACAGCCATAAGCAGATTACCGTCAGGAGGGCCTTGAATTGCACCAGTCTATTAAACACTTGAGCTTTTTACTGCATTGTGCTAAAGTGGACATTAGAATGGCTTTCTTGTTTCATCGCTGCATCTAAAGCTTCTCAAACCAATTTTTCCCCCCTTCGCTATGCTCTGAGCACTAAAATGCCTGGGAAATATTCTCAGATATTCTAAACAAAAGGATTGAAAAGCTTTTTAAAGCTCTTCAGCTGGATTAAATTCTCCTCTCAATTACATGGGTGTCACTGCAAAAAAAAAAAAATAGCCCATCCTGTTCTAAAGAGCTATTAGAAATATTATTGACTTTAGGGAAACAAATCCTAGGCCAGAAACCTCAAGTCTAATCCTGCTTAGATAGTAGTCCTACTCTAAAAAGTGACTATGGAAGAATGGCTCCTTTATATTCAGCAGTGCTGACTGCAGCGGGTATACGCAGACTCCGATCAGCTGATGGCAGGGGCACCTGACGTCTGTGAGCCCTGCACGGCGAAGGGATCGCATGTTAGATGCTGTCCCTTCTGGCAGCCCTCTCTGAGTTTCAAGCAGTTATACTGAGGACAAAGAAAAAGAAAGACAAGGTTCTTTGGGTAAATGTGATATTTTTTATTAGACCAACTAAATAATTGGAAAAAATTGTTCTTTACAAGCTTTCAGGCACAAACACCCTTCTTCAAGCATAGGGAAGAGTCTGCTAAGAACATTTTTTCCAACACACTCAGTTGGTCTAATAAAAGATAACACATCTACCCAAAGAACCGTACCTGCCTATGTCCTTAGACCAACGTGGCTACAACACCCAGGGAAAAGAAAGGCACCTTCAGCTCATCAATGTAACGAATGGCCTACTTTGGCCTGATAATAAAGTGAGAAGTATGAGAAATCAGCCTGGATCTCAGACCTCAGGTTGACTGGAGGGGCTGGGAGGTCTAGAAAATGATCTCTTTTTGTGTCTTACAAATCAAGTGCATTTGACAGGGATGAAGCAACCTGATAGATCTGTTATTAAACCAACTTAAACAGTTGGAAAACATTTTCTTAGCAAGCTTTCGGGTTTAAAAAGGGGTTTTAAACCCAAAAGCTTGCTAAGAAAATGTTTTCCAACTACAGTATTTAAGTTGGTCTAATAACAGATATCAGATTCACCCAACGAACCTGGTCTGCCGATGTCCATAGACCAACATGGCTACAACCTGCACCCTTTGACGGGGGTGATAAACACAGACCCCCCTCTCTCAGCATCATAATTACTGGGTCACCTCTGGGGTAGAACCGCAGTAAAGCATTACGGTAATTTGGAAAGCAGTTTGTCACCACTCATATGGTAAACGATAGCAAGTGGCAGATAATTCAGGGGCAGATGTGGGAGGGCAGAAGAGATTAAGCTAAAGACTCTCCAACCTCTTTCCCTGCTGCTGCTTAAAGAGAGATGTCCCACACTTGAAACAGCACCTGATTTACACAGCATTCATCCTTCTAGGAAAAAGCACAATCTTTCCAGAAACCTCAAACCCCTGTAAAACTCGACCTGCCAAGGTCCTCTCTGTTTTTTTGGACACAGCTGAATCAAATCTTATCATTATATTCATGTTCACGTACAGTGAAGGACAGGTGGGAAGGCTTTCTGCTGCCTGGAAACATTTGCACAACTTTTCTATTTTATTTCTCCGGGCAACCAAAAACATGATAAAATTCACTAAAAGTCTCTGGTGACCACATCTCACCTGTCATGGACCCCTTCTCCGTGGCCTACTGTTGGCTCCAACAACTCTCCCAGGGAATGAGTTGTGCCACGGGGTGGCTCTAAGGCAGGATGGCTCTGCCCACTCGAGACCATCAGGTTCTCAGAGTTGGACACTCCCCAAGCCCAGGGCCCCATACAAAATTCAGCACAGGTACAACATATTCCTAGATACCCAGGCAGGAGATATACTGCAGTGTTCAGGGCTGATCATTTTGCCTTCTCCCACAAGAACCATCTCCCACTTACCAAGTCGGGGCGAGGTAATTGTGTTGACATTGATCTTCTCGTTGCAGGCTTCTTGATGGCACTGCCTGTAGGCTGCTGGCTTGGACAGGACCGGGCACTCATTGCCGTGGCGGCCGGTGACTTTGTGCATGCACTGCACCACGCGTGACTGGAGGCCTTTTCCGCAGGTGGAGGAGCACTGGAGGAGAGAAGGACACGTCAGTGAGTCACACTGCAGCTGACTGCAAAGACACCCAAGCCAAAATACTCCACGACGGCACTGGAGACTGGCAGCAGACCCTGGCGCCCGAGACGTGCATGTCTCCAGGCTTTGGAGTCTCCGGGATGTGGAGAGGGGCATCTGGCTACCTGGCGGCAAGGAGGCCCGTCTCTGTAGCACCGTTTAGCCACAGCGCCACATCCTATGAGGTCTCTCTAAAGGTTGGAGGAATCTGGGAAGCTCAGCACCCCTCCTGATGCAGCTCACACCGCACAGGGGCATTTTTGGAAAATGCATGTGGCCTGATGCTGCCTTCACCCCTGTGCTGTGTGGAGCTCCACCGTGCAATCCCAGGAGAACCTGCTGCCAAGGTGACCTCTACCCAATGTGTCTTTGCAGGTGGTGGGATAACCTCAGACAAGAACCTGTTGCAGAGGTGGGCTATTCTAGCCCTCCAAAGTCTGCTCCTTTCTTGCCACGTATGGTGACCATGGGGGAAATAGGGGAGACCATCTTCCAATTCACAGCAGAAAGCCTCAAGTATCCAAGCGTTCGGCTGCATCTAGTCCTGCTAACCCTCTGACACTGGCCTGCCCTCCAAGGAGCGACTGGAAATTGTTCTCCATGACGTGGGGCTTAGCTTTGCCAAGAGGCCAGCTCTATTTATGAGCTTTCTTGGTTGTCGTCCATTTGGAGTTCCCACCTGCCCCTGCCTCCCTCTGCCCTGTCACTCGTGATTTACAACGTCCCACTTGCACGCAGCTCCGTTTTAATAACGCGTGCTCGGCGAGCCGAGGGGAGCACACCAGCTGGAGTTAATCAAAGAGCCGTGTACTTAAAATAACGAAACGACGTGTTGCGAGACTTTGGCGGGAGTCCGACTTCTGCTCGTGCCACACACAAGCAAGCGGGGAGCGGAGCAGCGGGTCCTTACGCAGCCCAGCCCACTGCATAAGACAATCAGAAGCTGAGCTCAGCCCAGGTGGGATGCTCTAGTGCTCGGACACCGCGGGCAGAGGAGCTTCTCAACAGGCCAATGTAACATCAAGGGCTAAGGTGGTGGTTTGAGCCAGCAAACAGCGGGGTTGCTGGGCTGCAGCGGCTCTGGGGAGCGCCAGGAGGAGATGTGCGTGACACACAAGTGGTGTGGGAGCCCTGCGGCTGCTGTGACCTTGGAAAGCGCTTTTGTCTGTTGTAGGAAAGCAGAGAAGAGCCACAGTCTCATTGGTTTGGCTAGAAACCTCAGCTGCTTCTGCTCAGCAAACATACAGTGCAAGGAGCGTAGCCTGGCCCGCGTAAAAGCAGTGGAAGGAGTTTTTGGAGGGATGGACTCTTGCACTTGTGGGACAGTAAAAGGCCAGACGCAACCAGGCTTCACGTGATTTGGGCCAGGGAAAATAGGCACCGTGGAGCAGTCCTTCAGAAAGGCTCACCGCATGGGTGCTACAAGCCCTCCCCCTGCTCGCTTCCAGGAAAGGGGAGGTCTGGTGTAGGGCTCTACAAAACCTCCTCTGTGGTGAAGCCTCATGCCAAGAATCAGTTATATTCTTAGCAATGTTGTTATCTTCATTAATTGCTCCCATTAACAAATGGTGGTCCGGGGGACCCGCCGATTCTCAAATCCGTTTCCTGCGTCTCATGCACTCACAAAAGTCGCTGTTAGGTCCTTGCTTCAGTTATTTGCTTTTCAAATTCCATTTCAGCCTCCTAATTTCCTCCTTCCATGCCGCCTGCCATATTTTCTACTCTTGTTTAACTGAGTACTCCGGGGCTGCGTTTCTGTTTTCTGAAGGATCTCTCTGTTTGGCTCAAATAACCCCTAGGATCTTGCCACTGAGCCAGGTGGGCATACTGCTGGCTTTCCTGCTCTCTCTCTGCTCAGAGCGATGCATGCTGTTTTGCATTCGAATACCGCTACGTGTACGACTGGCTCTGGGGACTTTTTCAATAGCTTCTTTTCTTTTAAGTACTCTGTTCTACAAAGTCAAATGAGTCAAATGTTATTCCTTTCTGGTACCTTCCCTTCCCCAGGGATGTTAAACTTAGTTATATTGTACTGCAGTCACTATTACTGGCTCAACTACTGTTCCTTTTTGTACCAACTTCTCCATAATACGGAGGACTTGCAGCTCTTTCTCTTGTGCATTCGCTGACTAGCTGTTCCAAGGAGGAGCTGCTGGACAAGTGTCAGACCTCGTCCCTTCATAACAACTGCACAGCTCGTATGGGCAAGCAGATTGCTCAACCTGCAAAGGTGTTCTCAGACTTGGTTGGCTCTCTGTTTTTGCGTGACATTTTACAAAATCATTCATCTTTCCCTCACATGGAGGTAGGTAGTAACGCACTGCCCATCCTTTTGTATTCTTGGAGCTCAGGAACGTGTCCACATGGATGCAAATGCAGAATTCTTTCATGTTTTAATACAATGCAACAAAGACCGTTGGGATGATGCTGTAGCAATTTTAATCTTCAAACTTCCTTAAAATTAATTCACACAGTGCTCCCACAAGGTAAGTGAAGAACATCTCCATTGTACGGACCGAGAGGCTACGTCTGTACAGTAAACGTGCTGTCCCCCGCGGTAGCACCCCGAAGCAGCATGTCCTGCTCTGGGAAGGCTGGCTCCTAAACCAGAAGCAATGTAGCCATCATGGGCAGGCTGACGATTACCTTCTGGGCTGGCTAAGGCTACGATCAAATGTCATTTCTGTCATGGGATCAGTTCTGCTGAGGCACGTCCTGGCACAGCTGAGCTGTCTGCTTGGCAGGGACAGACATCACCCGGGGCCCTCGTCCCAGCTTTCAAGGGGCCTGACTCTGTGGGACAACAGCCCTGGGTGCCTGGCCCTGACCTGGGGTACACGTGTGACGAGGGGACCCCATGGCATTCCCTTGCTCTGCAGCATGAAAGAGGCAGCCTGAAGTTGCCTGCCTGGGGCAACTGGAGAGGGCAGCCGTAGGCTGTCGGGACTGCGCCATAACCAAAGACATCCTCTGCCATAAAGCGGCACACGGCATGCAGACCTGGCATGACCACAGACCTGGCCTTTGGTAGCCAGGCACAAATTATTAATAGGAATGGCTGCACTCACATTTTTGGGCATTTGGGGCGTGACAAGGCGCAAGGATATCTGTTTGCTCGTGTTTTGTGCTGCCACAGCAAAAGTTACGGTGCGACTAGGAGGACCTCTGTTTGCAACCGAACAGATCTCAGTACTCAGCAGTGCTAACTAGCCACCTCCCTAGGATAGGGCTGCCATGTACAGGAGGTAGTCTGCCCACGCCAGTGCAGCACGCTTGACGACGCTGCCTCTGGGGCAACGTTTACTGGACAGACGTCACCGTAGAGTTGAAATCGCTCATCTGAGATCACAGAGTATTGGGCTGTAATCCTGTGCGTGCGTGTGCATCTGTCCCAGGGAGCACTCTGTATCTACCAATGCTCCTACCAAGAATAGCCTTTTCTTTTAAGGCACATTGATATTTTCAGGCACTGCGTTAGAGTCCTTTACCTACCTTCTGTGTGTGTGTGTCTGCCTCTGCCTCTGCTAGCCAGCAAGGAGGGCAGGCCACGAAACTTTTTCCACAGACACTGCCAGCTCCACTCCTTAGACAAATACCAGCAGGGTTTTCGCCCCGAGCGGTTTGATCCCTTCTCCTCGGAGACTAGGATTGTCACCTATGCTATGCAATCAGTCTTTCACAGCCAAGAAGACATATTTTAACATCTTTCTTGAACTCTTTGGACTTGGCAGCTAATGTCAGGTTGGACATCTGGCTTATTTTAAAAAGAAATTTTCAGCTCTATACTTGGATAGTCTCTTTACATAGGAATTTCAATAGGAAATCGGAATAGATACAAAATACATACAAAGAGGGAATTGTTGCTCACACTTGGCTTCCTTCAGGAGAAAGGATGTTGCTAAAAGAAGCAGGGAAATCATATTCAAAGTGAGGAGCACCTTTCTCTGTATTGTTTCTGCCCTTCTGCTCATGGCTCCTGGCTAAGCTTGCTCATGGCTACAGCTCCGCTATGTTGCACCTAACTGCTGGGAGCAGGGAAGCAGAGACATAGTTCGAACAAGTCTGTGGGGCAGATTCATTGCAGGTCTTGCCAGTACTGATCCTGGCACAGGAGTCCCAGAGAAAGTCCACATGGGATGTGGGGAGTCCCAGCACTGGAAAGCAGCTGCAAACTCCTTTCCAGCAGGGAACAGCAAATGGAGCTAGACCAGTGAGCCTCACTACCCATTGCGGGGGGTGGCCTGGGTGCCATGGGTTGTTGGTTCAGGTTTTTCATCTAATGCAACAGGTGAAGCTTTGTTGTGCATGCTATCTTACCCCCATCCTCCCCTGGAGACCCAGCAGAGAGCCTCGGTGGAAAGACTATGTGCTCTAGCTTACAGGTAAAAGCCTAGCAGGATGACAAGATTAGCGCAAGCATTTGTTAGCAAGTATGGGGCTTGATTTTTTTTTTTTGTGTGCAATGCATTAACCAGAAGGTGAGTGCTCTGTGCCTGCAGGGCACCTCCTTGGAGGATCTCAAAAAGTTTCACCTGCATTGTCTAAGGCTCACGAGTACCCCAGGCTTTTGGATGGATGCAGGAGCTGAGGGAAACAGGAGGGGAGGTGGCCTGCAGAGCTTGCCGTATCGGTGGTGGAACCGGGAACAGAATACGATGTGCTCAGCCCCTCTCCTTGACTTCAGCTACTCCCGTGCTACTCTAAAATCACGAAATACTTCAGAAAAACTTCCAGCCCAAAGGAGAAATGGCACCGGAGTCAAAGAAAAGTCACTGCAAGAACTACCCAGGCATTCCCTTCCCTTCACTGCCAGAAAAGTCTTCAGCAGTTCAACAGCCCAAAGAGAGAGGTTGATCTACGGGAAGAGCAAATGGATTTCAACATAAGGTGGCCAGGTTTTCACCTGAAGAAGTAACTTGAGAGAGAATTAAAGGGCAAACCCACTCCCCATAAAT